GAGAGGGGAGGCGGCCGTCGAACCGAAGCTCGGGATGAGCCTGAGCAAACCTAGGAGTCTACCATACAGTCCTTGGCGGATCTCTCAATCTGGAGCCTTTCATTCTGCTTGTTGGGGCCCTCTTGGGGAGCTCGAGCGGGTCTTTCAGGCCGACTTAGAGCCCTTACGGGCCCCTCTTGTAGTTTTTGTTGGGCGATCGTGGAACGATTTTGAAGTGTCAGAAGCGCATTGGAAGCGAAAGGGCGAGAAGGCCAACAACATTCAAGACGCCACTGATGTTGCCCTCTCGGGAGCTTTCTTGGGAGGCTTCGAGGCCACTTGGAGCCGTCTTAGGGCCTGATCCATTTGCGGCCATCTTGTACCGTCTGGAAGGCAAACTCAGAGTATCTAGGAAGATCTTGGAGCCATCTTGGCCCCTCGACCTCACAAGAATGCCCTCGATGTGTTTAGCATACATCAAGCACCTGATGCCGTTCAGTTCGTGTGCTTATCCCAAAAGGGGGGGCGCGTGAGCTAGCGCAGGCTCTGAGAGCAGAGTTCAGTCTTGACTTGCTCCCTTCCCCTGAACACTGGCGAGCAGAGTCGCGCGAGCCGCGCGCGGCTGACAGTCAAGAGGCCGAAACGAGGACCGGTTTTTGCTCGGGAGGAAATCCGGTTTTGGGGTCCGCTCCCCAGATCCAGGTCGGGGAAACTACAGTAGCAGCTCGGCCGCAAGAAACCTCCAGTAAGAAGCCCAACCCTGAGACCCCAGGGCGTCCACGGATTTCTGGTGCTGGAACGCCACGCCCTCCAGAGCAGAACCATCGAAACCCAAGAAGCCCAGGGCACCCTGGAAGCAAGCAGGGCGTTTTTCTTGGCATGGGTTCCCGCTGTATCCGCGGCCGAGGCTCGCCTCGGCCAGGAGGAGCCCCTCCGTTCCTTCTGTTCCGTCTTTCCGACGGAAGCACGAAGGCTGTCCGGCATGGCCGCGTCGTGCCGGCGCGGCGGCGACCCCAGCGCGGTCGTCCAGGGTTGAACTCGAAGAAGAAAAGTGCCACGAACATGAACTTTTGGCGCTTCGCGCGGACTTCTGGGATCTGCGCTGGGCCCCCTGGCGGCGCCTCCAGCGCCGCCCCCGGCGCGCTCCGCGCGCCAGGGAGGGGGGGGGGTCCGGCGCGGAGCGCCCCAAGTTTATGCGCCTGTTGTGTTCTCCTCTCCTGTGCGCGGGCGTCCGGGGTCGAACGCCGCGGGCTGCCCGGAATCGGCCGAGGATCCAGCGACCTGCGCTTGTGGGAAGGGCGCGATCGCCCGAGGTCGGACGGTTCGCGGGGGGGCCAGGGCCCAGCTATAGCGCGAACGTCCTCGCGACGCGAGCTTGCCGTAGGCAGGCGTGGCCGGCCTGTGCGAGGGCTGGACCGCGCTCTTCGAACGGGCCTCGCCTTCGAGGGATCGAGAGGTCGGCAGCTCTTCCTCGGCGGAAGGCGGCAGGAGGCAAGGGGAAGTCGAACGGCGGCGGGCCCGCCAACGGATGTCGGCGGAAGGCGGCGGACGTAAAAGCGAGACGGCCACACTTGTGGGAGCAGGACTTGCGGAGTCGGCCACTCGCGCCCGCATGTCTCTCAAGCGCTTGGCGCTCGTGTACCTGTGGCTAACACCTATGCGGGCCGGGCCCGGTCGTGCTGCATGCTCTGGACTTCCGGCAGCACTTCTCTCGCCGCGCCGCGCCAAGCTTGATCGGGCGAAGAGGACTGCGCACATGCACCGATCCTGACGAGGCCCATCCTTGGCCCCAGGATCGGTGCGTATGCCTTCCTGGCCAAGGTAGGAGGTCGTGTGCACCGATCCTGGGCTCCCCTGCGCTGCTCTGGGGGGCGGGCCGGGGCCCGCGCGAGCGCGAGGCTCCCTCGAGCGCGAGGCTCCCCACTGCGCCCGTGCGGTCCGCAGCGAGGCGGGCCTCTTGGAGCTCCCGGCCTCCCCGTGCTCCACCACCCCCTAAGCCACCCCGACCCGGCCCGAAGGCTCAGATTTACGCTCGATTTCCAGTTGGGGGGACACATCGACGAAAGCATGTGGAAGCCTTACCCCCCCCAACCCGAAATTCGGGGCTTCGGGTTGGGTTTGGGGTGGTCTGGTAGGTCGTCGGTGCTCGAGGCCCCCGCGCCCGTGGGCCCAGCGCGCGGGCTTTCCCGAGGTGCCGCGCGCGGGCTCCGGCCACGCGTGGGCCCCGCAGAGCCGGTCGCTCGGGGCAGAGCTGCGGTGTCTGGCTGCGGCCTGCAGCGCGCGCGTGTCTCGCGGTGCTCCTCTGCGTCCGCGCATCTCGCGCGCAGGGGACGGCCGTCCTCGGAGGGGCAGCGGACTTCTCGATCTACTCTCCCTGTGTGTGTGTGTTTTGTTTTTGTTTTTTTCGCAGAGAACAGAAAAACACAAGGACCGACCACAACGCTGTGTCGCTTGGTTTGGGCCCTTGTTGTCGTGTTTGTCGTTCCCTTTTTCGCTGTCATTTCGTTTCGGTGTTCGTTGTTCTTTTGAACGCCCCGTTTCGTCGTTCGTTTTCGTTTGGCACTGGCTTCGTTTAAACGTTCGCTTTGAACGTTGGGCCTCGTTTCGATGTTCCCTGTAAACGACACTTCTTTTTTATGCACCGTTGTGGGGTCGGTCCCTGCAGAACAAGCCGGGCAGGGCAAGTCGCTGCTGCGGGGGGGGGCGTCAATCCTCGGCGCCGGCAGGGGCATGCACGACCTGCTGGCCAGGGAGCCCCAGGCCTTCCTCCCGGGGCGCTCCGGGAGGCTGAGCCGCGACCAGGACGCCTCGCCGCGGCGGGCGAGGAGGGAGAGTGGGTGGTGCAAAGATTGGGACCTGAGGCATGGGATCCTATTCTGGATGGGGCAATCGTCGCCCTCCCCTTGGATCCGCTGGGGGGGGGTTGGGCACGTGCTGCCGGAACGGGTGGAAGGGGGGGTTGGAGGAGGAGGAGGAGGAGGAGGAGGAGGAGGAGGAGGAGGAGGATGAGGACGAGGTGGAGGAGAGGGGGTGGCATGGGCAAGCTCCGTCGGAAGGTTAGTCGCCCACTCCTCCATTAATATCCCACCACGAGTAAGGACGAAGTGCATCAAGCAACATCTATTCAACCTTGGATCCCCTCCTATCCTCAGGACCCCATCCCTGAGGACCCCGTCTTCGAACCACAGGGAGAGAGAGAGGGGTGGTGTACGCTGAGTGGAGTAAGGTGGAATGACTCTGCCTGTTTCTGCAGCTCGGCCTGGCCAAGCGCTGTGAGCACCGCGCGGCCGATCGGAGCGCCCGAGCTGAGACGGCGGCGGGGGCATTACGAGGGCGTTTCAACCGTGTTCCTGGACGGCCATCGGGAGACATGATTAGGGGGTGGGTGGCGGGGTGCGCTCGTGCCATATCTGACATCCGACCTACCCCCCACTCATCCCTTCCCACTGCAACGGTTTTTCTCTAATTATCTGCCGACGCTTGCCTTAGCAGATTTGGAACTCCAGAGAGGATCCCACCGTGTTGTGCGCAATCGGAGGAAAGTTGAAGTGGCGTGCACTGGAAGGGGGAGGAGATGGTGGATGAGCAGGAGGGAAAGCAGGAGGAGAAAGAGGACGAGGAAGGAGGAGGCCGAGGACGAAGAGCAGCAGCAGGAGCTGGAGTGGGAGAAGCGAAAGGAGCAAGATGACCAGGAGAAGGAGGGGAAGGGGAAATGAGGAGGGCGACAACGATGAAGAAGGACTCGGATCCAGAAAAGCGACCCGCGCTGGAGCGAGAGCGCCATTCTGAGCTACGGGGGCAAGGCGCCGATCCCAAAATCAAGGCCACGCTGTAGCGGGAGCACCATCTCGGAAAGACCGAATTCGCCCTGGTTGTAGACAACCATAGGACAAATCAATGCTGCCCAGTCATCTGAGTACAGGAGAATGCGCGGAGAGGGCGGGGCATATCTTCTGGACCAGGTCAGGGGAGAGAGGAGTGCAGTACGCATATTGTGCAAGTGTATGTGGGGGGGGCAAGCTCGGTTTGCTCGCGGCCTGCCAATGAACAGCAGAAGATGCAGCCAGGAAGAGGCGGGTCGCGGGAAGGAGGGGGGCTCTGCATGGGGCAGGGGCGAGAGCACGGCCGCGTGCACCCTGGCGTGCTCTGGCTGGGGATCGTGGCCGTCCCGGCCAAACATGTGGCCGGCACTGCGGCGGGGGCATGGCCCTGGAGCAAGTTGTGAGGGAGGAGGAGGATGAGGAGGAGGAGGAGGAGGAGGAGGA